AGGTGGAAAGTATATCCTAAATGCCTTGTAGCCTCTCGAAGATAGGTATGGACATCATCATACCGATCCGCAAGACTCTACTAGACACTTGTTCATGACTTGTAGAACCTATGAACCTAGAGCTCTAATACCAATCGGTCACGACCCAAAATCCGTTAGTCGTGATGGCACCTAACCCAACTCGCTAGGTAAGTCAACTAATAACTCACCGATTTCAAAAATAGTAATAAGACAATGAAACAAAGGAATTATCTAAATCTTAAACCTTTCCCAAGGACTAGTAGTATAAACATGAGCTTCTAAAATTAGAATTGACAAAGCTAATATGAAGTACATACATCTTCTGTTTGAAAAGTACATAAAAAGAGTTTTTATAAATCTAAGGCTACAATGAATAAGAGGCAACTACAAGAGGAACACATGTACATCCTCAAATCCGGCAACCATAGAGCACATCAACAACAACAGCCAACATCTGCACGCAATGTGCAGAAGTGTAGTATCATTCCAACCAACCCCATATACTGAGTAAGTAACAAACCTAACCTTAGGTTGAAAGCAGTGACGAGCTGGAACATAGGTCGGGTCCAACACCAATAACCAATAGTAGTTCATATCAATATAGATCATATAAATAAGAAAATAACTCAGAGATACAAATGCTCAGCTGTTTCACAGTTTTCTGAAAATAGTTCCATTTTTCAAGAATATCAGTGGAAACTCAAATCCTTTACCGAAATCGTCGTAAAATATGATATAGTTTGAAAATGTAAATTTTTTCAAAAATCCTCTTCACAATATATTAGATGTTTCGTTTCCTTTCCAGATTGAAAGTGCAAAATGCCTCTTTGTGCCCACATATTGTGTAAACATCATGAATGACGTGATACCGTTCAACATGAGGAATAAATATATCTCTATGCCTGTATGTCATGTGTGCATGCCAATGCCATGTATCTCAGAGATGCATCATGTACTCACACTCTCAGAGTAGTCAATCTCACTGTCTCACACTTTTCACTCATCAAGCTCAACTACTCGGTACTATATACGGCCAACACGGCCCAGGGAAATCCATACCGGAACATATATAACACTGACTATAAGTCACCCAGTATTGAGGAAAAAAGGGCAATCCAACCCTGTGGAGAAATCCATCTCCAGGTATCAAATACTTCGGACAAATCCATGTCCAGGGAAATCCATTCCACAATAATATCATCCGCGCTCACTGGGGTGTGTTACTGACTCCAGAGGGCTCCTTTAGCCCAAGCGCTATCATAATCATCAATATAACCAATGCAACGTGCAGCCCGATCCCATAATTGTCACTCATAATCAAGCTCTCGGCCTCACTCAGTCATTAATCTCTCCAGTCTCTCCCACGGGCTCACAATGTCATGAACACTGACCCGAAATAATGATATAATATATCAATATGCAACAACTGAGACTGGGACATGATATGAATGCATGAATGTGACTGAGTACGAAATATCAATGAAATCGATGAGATGATAGTAAGAAATGACCACTATGGGTCCCAACAATATTAGCATAAAGCCTAAACAGGATATCTAGCATGATGTACTGCTCAATTACTTAATCACATGGCAAAAACACAGATATCAACAAAATAGGGCCACTAAATAGTGCCATTATACAACGGAGTCACAAATTCACAGGATGCACGCCTACACGCCCGTTACCTAGCATGTGCGACACCTCAACATCAATCACATAGCACGTAATTCGGGGTTTTACACCCTCAACACTAAGTTTAGAAGTGCTACTTACCTCAAACAAGCCAATACCAATGCCGAGCGAGCCAAGCGATGCTCCAAAGATGCCATTACATGCGTTTCGACCTTCGAATGGCTCAAAACCTCATCCTTGTGATGCAAATTGCTCCAAAATCGCCTCAATCCGAGCTTGAAAATGTTAAAAGAAATGAAGCCAAAATCGCTAACCCTTGTATTTATCATTCTGCCCAGCACTTCTGCTTTTTCGGACACTTAACCGCATTTGCGGTGTCACAGAAGCGACCAAAATTTCGTTTCTGCGGTACAACACTAAATCTGGGCCTCCGCTTCTACATTCTTTTCCCCGCATGTTTGCAGCCGCAGGTGCGCAACAGCCCCATCGTACCTGCGCAAACATCTGCTTATGCGCCTAACACCCCGCTTCTGCGACTACGCAGGTGCGGGAGTAATCTTCGCACCTGTGACTACAGTTCACTAGCCCAAACATCACTCATGCAACCCAATTGTCCGCATTTGCGGACACGCATCTGCATCCATTCTTCCACAGATGCGGAAACACCAGAACCAGTAGCCTTAAGCAATGCAACATGAACTAAAATGATCTGAACCTAGTCTGAAACTTTTCCGAGCCACTCGGGACCCCGTCCAAATATACCGACAAGTCCCATAACACAATACGGACCTACTCGAGGCCTCAAAATATACAAAAATATCAAAGCGACGAATCATACCTCAAATCAAAATCTATGAACCTTAAACTTCAAACTTCCACAACTGATGTCGAACCCTGTCAAATCACGTCCGATTGACCCTCAAAGTTTTGCACACAAGTCACATTTGACATTACGGACCTTCTCCAACTTCTGGAATCGTAATCCGACCCCGATATCAAAAATTTCACTACCAATCAAACTTTCTAAAATTCCAACTTTCAGCATTTCAAGCCAAATTCTACTATGGACCTCCAAATCATGATCCGAACGTTCTCCTCAGTCCAAAATCACCCGATGGAGCTAATGAAACCATCAACAATCCAATCTTTGGTCAATTGTTAAAAAGTCAAACTTGGTCAAACCTTCTAAATTTTAAAGCTTCTAGGTGAAAATCATTCTTCTAAATCAGTTCCGAATAACCTGAGAACCAAAACCGATGATTCACATAAGTCCTAATGCATCATACAGAGTTACTCATGCCCTCAAATAATCGAGCGAAGTAAAAATGCACAAAACGACTGGTCGGGTCGTTACAATAACTTAGAGTCAAAAGGAGCAAGATCCTTTATTTGTCTTAATGCATTCCAAGCAGAGGCCACATTGAATTTTCCTGAAGTAGTAATTGTCCATATTGGAGTGTCGTCCTCTTCTTGGCCAATTGTGACGTGAACAAAGGCTACCAAAGTCTTAACAACTTCATGAGGCTGAATATGTAAGAAAGACCAGTCCCATACTCCATCCTTATATACTTAATTAATCTTGGTATTGTCATATCCGACATCTTCGCCTAAGATGGAAGACAAAGGACCAAAATTGGTCCAATTATCATACCAAAAGCTGCTATTACCTCTCCCAACTCTCCATAAGATGTTCTACTCTAGTTCATATTTCAATTTGCACATAGCCCGCCAATTATGAGACAAAAAAGAATATTACTTATCCTTTTGTATTCTGCTTAGTGAAACTCGTTTTGCTTCTTCCAGTTGCCACTACAACCGTTAAAAGTTTTTCTGCAATGAAGTTTATCAAGAATGACTTGCGGAATCGAATGAAGTTTATTATCAAAAACATTTCAAGAGATGAGACCTCGCTGAGTACAATTGTAATAATATATTTAAATTTTGCTTTCAGTAGTAATAATTTTTTTGTTGATTCCTTTATATTGATTTTGATTTATACAATAGTTAATTATGTTAAAGTATTTTTATGATTTAGCTAAATATTGTGTATTTTATTCTAAAAACAATTTAGTGCACCCATTCATAAAAAATAATTATTTGCTTATCCAAAAGTTGAACACCCTTCGTGAAATTTCTAGCTACGCCACTGAACTTATGTATTCTTATAATGTACTAGCTCTAGCTCTTCTAGTAATGTAAGGCAAGATGATCCCAATGACTGAGAACTATACTATTATAACTCTTTAGTAATGAATAAAATATTCTTATTTTTAGGATTTTTTTTATCAACTATATATCCATTTTTATTAAAGCAATTTGGATAACATCCAAGTTAGCTCATTTAAAAGTTGCGCTTAATATATATGTTGCCTAAATTTACTCATAAAAAATGTATCAAAATATTTTTCTAATTTATTATTTGTTTGATATGTAAGATAAAACCATAATAAAGAAAAAAGGCTTGTTAGTTTTATTTTTGGTAATTAAACAATCATAACAAAATAAATAAAGAATGAGAGTTGGACCAATTGAGCTACGACTCATTATTTAATTCATCTTGATCCAAATATCTCAACCCAAATAACTTTCGAACATGTAATGATCTGCTTATTTAAGATTTTAATGGGTGAAGTACACCAGTAGCAACGTCTAAACCCGCTGTTTAAAATATATTCATAATTTATAATGTATTTAAAGACTCAATTCACACAAATTTCAATTTGACCGAATTGACTAATCTTATAAACTGTGAATATATTTAAACAAAATGCTTAACTACTTGGTGTCATTTGGAATTGAATCTAGTTTGATCCGTCAAAATTCCATCCAACCGCACATTTAATAAACATAAATAAACCTACACTTGCTTTGTTTGACTGCTCCTATTTCAGTATTTACTTTCTTATTGGCTGTAGCTTCCATGGCTGATCAAAGCAACTACAATGAAGAATCACTCGCCTCCACTTTGCTGAACGATTCAATGGTGCAGATACTCGTAAGGCTTCCTGTGAAGGTACTGCTCTGCTTTAGGGCTGTCTCCAAATCATGGTACCGTTTCTTCAACAGCCCTACTTTCATTAAATTGCACCTCAACCCTCAACTTTCTCGTCCTGCTCCTACCCTTATTCTTCAGAACCGTGATAATCTTGGCTTCCGGTTTATTAAAATTGCCTTCACCTTTTACTATTGAGACTGAGCACTTTGCAAAATTTGAATTTTCTTATAATGGTTTAATATGTTTGATGAATTATATGTACACATCACCATAAATCATCCTGTGGAATCTTGCTCCTAATAAATATAAGTGCATTAATGTACCATCTGAGTGTACAAGATTTACATATATGAGACTTGGTTATGTTCAAGAAAGCAATGACTATAAGCTTTTGAAAGTCCCTTTTGAGCCAATTTGGAGTAAAAATGAAGGAGCATATTTGGCGTGGGTTTATACTCTCAGTTCAGGTTTGTGGAAAACGGTACCATTCACGCTTCTTAGCCAAACTGTTGCGTACGGGCCTGAGATTTCTCTAAATGGTTTTGTGTATTGGCTTGCTACTTCAGATGTGGAATGCATTATTTGTTTAGATTTGATTAAGGATGAATTCAAACTTTTGGATGTTCCTGATGATCGTGGATTTCATCATACTAATGTTCATAGAAAGCTTATGGTTTTGAGGGGATCTCTTGTGATGATGGTATCCATTCACGATGGTTTTAAGGACACTGAGATATGGGTGATGAAGACAAGTTATAATAATGGCATTCAACAGAACTCTTGGACTAAGAAATTCATTATTGACCCTTTCTCTAAATATGCAATTCCATTTGGAATTTGGGATGTTGATAACCTTCCTGTTGTGTGTCACGACCCAAAATCTGACCTGTCGTGATGATGCCTATCTCAATACTAGGCAAGCCGATAACATCAATAATCCCCGATTTCCTTTAAGTTTGAAAAAAACATGATATTTAAATACAATACAAATTTCCACAAATACTGATACGAACACTCCCCAAAATCTGGTGTCACTGAGTACATGAGCATCTATTATGAATACAAGTCTGGAAAATACGGTCTATAATAATCTGAGCCCAAATACAGCAAACGAGAAGATAGGGAAGGAGAGGCAAGGTTTGCGAAACACGGCAACTACCTCAGAATCTCCGAAAAAGCAAATGCGTGAAAAATCAACAACCACTATCTCAGAATCTCCGGAAAAGAAACTACGCGAAAGAATCAACAACCGCTATGCCCGGGAACACCTGGATCTGCACACGAAGTGCAGGGTGTAGTATGGGTACAACCAACTCAGCAACTAACAATAATAAATAAGGAATTGAAGATAGTGACGAGATACGCATATATAGTTCACTTTCAGTAATTCCAGCAAAGAATAGACATGCTTTCAAATCCGGCGGTTTAAGTCAAATCAATTCTATATAGTTCAAATTCATGTATTTCGGATATAAAATATTTCAGAAAATTTCACAACAATGACAGATAGCAACTAAGTGCAACCACAATGAAAAGCAAGTACAACCTCTCACAACAACAATCACTCACTGGACTCCCAGCCCTCAACACTCACACTCAATGGGTACCCACGCTCACTGGGGGTATACAGACTCCGTAGGGGCTCCTACAGCCTAAGTGCTATAATCCGCATGGACAACTCACGTGCTACACGGATAACGCACGTGCTATAGTATCAATATCTGGATCCGCACGGACAACTCACGTGCTATAGTATAATATCTGGATCCGCACGGACAACTCACGTGCTATAGTATTAAATCTCATAATCAGACACTCGGTCTCGCTCAGTAATAAATATCTCCATTCTCTCGGGCTTTCAACAATCATGAAATCATCCCAAACAACAATGATATGATGCATCAATAATGAACAATAGAGACTGGAATAAAATAATCAAGTAAACTATGACTGAGTATAAAACAACAATTAAGCAAATAGTTCAACATGTACATGACCTCTGTGGGTCCCAACAGTACCAACATATAGCCTAAACATGATTTCTAACATGACTTACAGTCAAATTTCTACAACACATAGAGAGAACATAGCCAACAACAAGTTATTCAACTTTACAGTTTCCACGGGACGAAACAAGTCACAATTCCCTCGGTGCACGCCCACACGCCCGTCACTTAGCATATGCGTCACCTCCAAAGTAATCACATGATACCAAAATCCGAGGTTTCATACCCTCAGGACCAGATTTATAACTGTTACTTACCTCAAACCGTGAAATTCTTATTCTGCGATGTCTTTTCCTCGTGAATTGGCCTCCAAACGCCTCGAATCTAGTCACAAATAATTCGATTCAGTCAATAAAATTTATTGGAATTAATTCCATAAGAAAATGCTAATATTCCATAAAAAACCAAAATTTAGCTCGAAAATTGCCCGTGGGCCCACATCTCTGAACCCGACAAAAGTTACAATTTAAACGCCATTCAACCACGAGTCCAACAATACAAATTTTACTCAAATACGACATAAACTTGACCTCAAATCTCCAAATTAAACCAAGAGGGTTTTCACAATTTTCCAACTTAATTCACCAATTTTCCAAACAACCATGGATTCGGGTAATTTAATCAACATTGAGTTAAGAAAACTTACCCCGTTATTTTCCTTAAAATACTCCCGAAACTCGCCTCTTCCCGAGCTCCAATCCGTCAAAAATGAAAACTGGGACGAAGTCTCACTTTCAGAACTTAAACTTTCTGCCCAGACATTTGCTCTACGCGATCGCGAAGAACAATTTTTCCACTGCCCAAATTAACTCTACGCGATCGCGAACTCTTCCATGCGATCGCGATGCACAACTTAACGGACCTACGCGATCGCAGACACATTCACGTGATCGCAAAGCACAATCCTCCTGCTCGACGCGATCGCAACCCTCTTCATGCGTTCGCGAGTCACGAAATCCTAGAGCTACGCGATCGCATCCTTCTTCACGCGATCGCGTAGAACAAAACTTAGCAGCTCCCCAGTTAACCCTACGCGATTGCGTGTATCCCCACGCGATCACATATAACAAACCTCCACTGCCCATCTAAGCCTACGAGATCGCGTCCCAATCTTCGAGATCGCGAGGAAGGTTTGAAACACCAAAAATCAGCATTTACCAGCAGTGCAACAATGGAGAAAAATAATCTGAATACCATCAAAAACATGCCCGAGCCACTCGGGACCTCAACCAAATATACCAACAAGTCCTAAAATATTATACGAACTTAGTCGAACCCTCAAATCACCTCAAACAATGCTAAAACCACGAACCATACCCCAATTCAAGCCTAATGAACTTTGAAATTCCAAGTTTTCACAAACAACGGCGAAACCTATCAAATCACATCCGATTGACCTCAAATTTTGCACACAAGTCATAAATGACATAAAAGACCTATTAATATTTTCAGAATCATATTTCGATAACGATATCAAAAAGTCAACCCTCCGGTCAAACCTTCCAAAAATTTGACTTTCGTCATTTTAAGCCTAATTCCACTACAGACCTCCAAATAATTTTCCGGACACGCTCCTAAGTCCAAAATAACCATACGAAACTATTGGAATCATCAAAATTCAAATCCGAGGTTGGTAACATATAAGTCCACATCCGGTCAACTAATCTAATTTAAATTTTCAATTACGAGACTAAGTGTCTCGTTTCACTCCGAATTCCTTCCGTACTCGAACCAACTAATCTGGTAAGTCATAAAACGACTGTAAAGCATAAATTGAAAAGTAAATGGGAAAACGGGGTTATAATACTCAAAACGATCGCCCAGGTCGTTACATTCTCCCCTCTTAAACAAACGTTCATCCTCGAACGGGTTTAGAATCATACATGGAGTCTCAAATAGGTGTGGATATTTACTCCGCATATCCTGCTTAATCTCCCAAGTAGATTCTCCGACTGGCTGGCCTCTCCAATGTACCTTCACTGATGCTATATTCTTTGACCTCTGCTTTTGAATCTTCCGGTCTAAAATAGCTACCAGCTCCACATCATAAGTCAAATTATCGTCCAACTGTACTGTACTGAAATCCAGAATATGAGACGAATCCCCAATATACTTTCGGAGCATGGATACATGGAACACTGGATGAACACCTGATAGATTAGGTGGCAAAGCAAGTTCATAAGCCAACTCTCCAATCTTCTTAAGTATCTCAAAAGGCCCAATATACCGAGGGCTCATCTTGCCCTTCTTCCCGAAACTCAACACACCCTTCATGGGTGAAATCTTGAGCAGAACCTTCTCCCCAACCATGTAAACAATATCACGAACCTTCCTGTTGGCATAACTCTTCTGTCTAGACTATGCCGTGCGAAGCCATTCCTGAATCATTTTGACCTTCTCTAAAGCATCCTAAACCAAGTCAGTACCCATTAGACTGGCCTCACCCGGCTCGAACCAACCACCGAAGACCGACACCGTATGTCATATAAATCCTCATGCGGAGCCATCTGAATGCTTGACTGGTAGCTATTATTGTAAGCACACTCCGTGAGTGGAAGAAATTGATCCCAAGAATCCCTGAAATCAATGACACAAGTGCGTAGCATATCCTCTAATATCTGAATAGTGTGCTCAGACTGTCCGTCCATCTGAGGATGAAATGTTGTACTCAACTGAACCTGTGTACCAAATTCTCGCTGCACTGCTCTCCAAAACTGTGATGTAAACTGCGTGCCCCGATCTGAAATGATGGACACTGGCACACCGTGTAGGCGAACAATCTCGCGGATATAAATCTCAGCCAATTGCTCCGAAGAATAATTGGTACCAACAAGAATAAAATATGCAGACTTAGTCAGCCGATCTACAATCACCCAACCGCTTCAAACTTCCTCAAAGTCCGTGGAAGCCTAACTACGAAGTCCATAGTAATACGCTCCCATTTCCACTCCGGAATTTCAAGTATCTAAAGTAATCCTCTCGGTCTCTAATGCTCGTACTTTACCCGTTGACAATTTAAGCACCGAGCTACAAACCCAACTATATCTTTCTTCATTCGCCTCCACCAATAGTGCTGTCTCAAATCTTGATACATTTTCGCGGCACCTGGATGAATGGAGTATCGTGAACTGTGAGCTTCATGGAGAATCAACTCATGCAAACCATCTACATTAGGTACACAAAGCCTTCCCTACATCCGTAATACACCGTCATCTCCAATAGTGACTTCTTTGGCATTACCGTGCTGAACCGTGTCCTTAAGGATGAGCAAATGGGGATCATCGTACTGGTGTTGTCTCATGCGATCATATAAAGAAGACCGAAAAACCACACAAGCCAAAACTCGATTCGGCTCGGACACATCCAATCTAACAAACTGGTTGGCCAAGGCCTGAACATCCAAGGCTAAAGGTCTCTCTGCTACCAATAAGTATGCTAAAATGCCCAAACTCTCCGCCTTGCGGCTCAAGGCACCGTCCATTACATTGGCCTTTCTGGGATGATAGAGAATGGAAATGTCATAAACCTTAAACAACTCCAACCACCTTCGTTGCCGCAAATTAAGATCCTTCTGTTTAAACAAATATTGTAGACTCTGATGATCGGTATATACCTCACATTGGACACCGTACAAGTAATGCCGCCAAATTTTCAAGGCATGCACAATAGCTGCTAACTCAAGATCGTGGGCCGGGTAATTCTTCTCATGTACCTTTAACTATCTCGACACATAGTCAATCACCCTACCATCTTGCATAAGTACTCTGCCGAGACCAATACACGACGCGTCACACTACACAGTATAAGACTCTGAACCTGTAGGCAACACCAATACTGGAGCTTTAGTCAAAGTTGT